CGGTACCTTGAGGATCACCAGCTGATTAGTGACCGCCAGTCCGGTTTCCGTCGGGGTCACTCAGCAGGTGATCTTCTTGTTTACCTAACACATAGATGCGCGCAGGCGATCGAGTCCAAGGGGGAGGCATTGACCGTTAGGTTGCACATAGCGATGGCCTTGGATCGGGTCTGGCACAAAGCGCTTCTTTCGAATTTGTCGGAGGGCCCAAACGAAGGGTAAAGATTTTTCACAAAAGGAACAAAAACTCTCGCATTGAAATAAAATAATTATATATTGATTATATGTTATTACTTACAATAAATACTCCTAGGAACTAAGCTAGCCAAACAATTCAATCCTACATCCTGTCCCATAGAAGTTCTTAGAATTTTTGCTTACATACGTTCGAGGCACAGAACACTATATTAGGTGATCTCTGGTTCGAGGCCTCTGTAGGTCGGGGGCCCCGTATCATTGATACGGCTGATACGCCGGTAGCTACGCCTCTGCCCAGAAGACACAAGTTTGCGCATTACCGCTAAAAAGAACCACTTTGTCGTATCGCCTCAGTTTCAAGGAACTCACCTTATTGCCTCAGCCAGTATCGGAATCCTCAGCGTCGACATATGGAATGACGTGCAGTTTCGTGGCCACTTGGAAGATAGGGCCTCTAAAAAGCTTGGCGTGCTCAGCAGAGCGGGACAGTATTTCATGCCGGCACACCGCCTGCAACTTTACAAGGTGCAGGTTCGGCCTCACATGGAATACTCTTCCCATCTCTGGGCCAGGCTCTCCCCAGTGCCAGCTCCTTCCACATGACCGCATCCAGCGCAGAGCGGTTCGAATCGTCGACGACCGAGTTATTTCCGATCGGCTTGACTCACTGGCACTGCTTAGAGATGTTGCATCTCTTTGCGTATTTTATCGCATGTACCACGGGGAGTGCTCTGAGGAATTGTTCGGACTAATTCCAGCTGCTCAATTTCACCATCGCACGTCACGACAAAACTTGCGATACCATCCATACCATCTGGATGATTGGCGGTCCACCACTGCGCGATTTAGAAGATGTTTTCTTCCTCGCACAACTTCATTGTGGAATCGATTACCACCAACGATTTTTCCGGACCGATACAACTTAGGGACCTTCAAGAAAATAGCCTACTCCTTTTTAAAAGGCCGGCAACGCATCTGCGATTCCCCTGGTTCCCTTGGTGTTGCAGTTGTTCATGGGTATTTTTACCCTTGCAACACGGTAACTCTTTACAAATAGGGACACTGGAGCTCACCGACAACTACAATTTGAAGTAAAAGTTCTTTTACTATTATTTTTATTCGGTGGTAACAATAATGCCAGAACAAGGTTAAATAAAATCCTTAGTTGGTTATACATTTTTATTTGATTATAAATACATATTTATATTTATAAGAACAGAGATTAAAGAGTTAGCAATTTTATATTATTGATATGTGAATAAATATGAATCATATTTTATTCATAATCGTCAGAGGAATCCAACTGTTAAACTTAAGTGAGTGACTCCAAGGTCTCCGGAGTCATCGTGCACATTTATTATGAAATCTCAAGCATCGTCCAAACCTTATATACTTTTTTAATAACTCCGCCGTAATCGTTCAATATGATCAATTTCTTTTTCCCAATCATCGTTTGTGATAGACTGCATGGTCTCCGTGGTTAGTCTTTTAATGTGACTTTCCCATTGCACGAAATTTTTTGTTGTTAAAAAGGGCGCGTGCGAAAGTTTTTATATGAAAAAAAAATCTATTAAAAATCTATTTGATTACTTCTACATCGCTCTTACTGTCTCATCGCATTTTTCATTCACGCCCACCTGTTAAGGGTACTCGTGTCCTAATTATTTTGCAAATATTAAACTATATTATAAATTATAATATAGTTTGTTTGCAAAATCAATAGTTACAATTTATAATATATGTCCGCTGAAGGGGCGCCGCGCCGATGAGTTTCTAGCCTAGGACGCTGTCGACTTTTAATCCGCCTCTGTGTAAAACAATTAACTAATAAGGAAGATCCCAAGAAGCGTTAAAGATGTGTTAACTTATCAGTTATCACTGCCGAGAGCGACTATACGATTGCGTTATGAGTCACGACTGCACGTAATTAGGGGAAGTGCGGGGGCAGAGGCGGGGAGCGGGCGCCGAAACCGTTAGTCATGCACCTTGTTTTGGTCAAGTAGAACCAAATAAATAAGTATTATAATAATCTATGAGTAATATCGAAGTATACTGTACACTACACACACTAGGCTGATTGAAACTTGACGTTACGTAAGGGACATCTCATAATAATAATTTTATTGTACTGTATTATCTGTGAGTCACAAAATATTAAGTCGATAATTTCTTAAGGCGCTCTTGTAGTTACCTACCTAGCACCATGCAATTATTGAGCGAAATTATACAAATAAACAAAAATTGAAGTATCTGTTCGTAATGTCAAAATAACTGCTTTTTACTAAATGCATATGCAAGTATTTACGGTGCTTACAACAAAAAAAAACAATTTTTTAAATGTTTGTCTGTCTGTAATTAGTAATAAGTCTAAATAGGGAAGCATTTAAAAAAAAAACAACGCAAAATGTCTCGGCGAGCAACACAGAGTATTTTTTATTTTGGCGGGTGCTGGTCCATATATAGTATTTATTTAGTATTTAGTATACCCTTAAATAATCGCCGTGGCTGCCTCGACCGCGTGACGTGTTCCATTTTTGTATTTTTTTTTATAAAATAAAAATAAATATGAATTTGTAAAATTTATTCTCAACATTTCCTAAAAATAATTGACCGTTTGGTATAAGTTTTACATGGTTTTACTACGAAACGTGTACATTACATGGTTTTACTACGAAAACCATGTAATGTACACGTTTGAAAAAAAATTGTGTAAACTTTTTTTATTATTGCACTTCGCGTTTCTGTCTTCACACAACCCTTGTTCGTATGTTCAATTATAAGAAAATTATTTTGTTGTGATACCGTGTGTATTGACGGTGTAAGAATATTCACCATCCCCATATAGTCCCGTGGGCAAGGTAAGAGGCTACAGAGAGAAATTGAAACAGGTAAGTGGCAGCAGTGCCTTGCTGATAACAACTCAAAACAATAAAAAACTGTAGTTGCCAATCCGCCTGCCATGTGTGGCAACTATGGCAGAGGTCCTCCTATAAGGCAATCTATGTTCAGCAGTGTACTTTCATAGGCTGTAATGTATTTTTTTAATAGGACAGTGTGGCAAGCGAGCACACAGTGCACCTCATGGTATTGGTTTCTATGACCCATAGACCACATAAAGAATCAAAATGCAGATGCGTTGTCAACCGTGAGGACTAAGATGGAATGCCTCTTTTCCAGTAAAAAGGGACACCGGTTCTCTACACTCACCATACGAAACACAGCAGTGTTAAGCTGCTATTTTACGTTGGTATTCTGTAAGAGCGTGTTCCTTCCCCGATAGAGCCGACCAGATAGATGTTATGGATGATATTGTGTTCGCGCAATAATTACATTTGTAGATTTACCGAGGTTACAAAAAGTTAAAAATTAATGTAACCTCGCCTTAAATGAATAAGCGAGTGAACCCTAATCTGATAGTGTTTCGTAGCGAAACAGCTCGGATATAAATTTAATTGGAGATAGAATTTCGTTTATTTTTAAGTTGTTTACGTGCGAGTTTAAATTACTTTTTCATTATTGCTCACTTTTGAGAATCATTTCTGCTAAGTTGTGCGACATGCTTGTGAACTAGGGACCTTTGAGTGATTCATATTTGTATTCCACCAGTACGCTGGATATTGATTGCGGATTATAGCGACGATTCTGGTCAGGAAAGTTTAGAGGTAAGTATTCAAATCTATGAGTTAACCATGTAGTGGCTGTGTAAGAATATCCACTACCATATCATCCCGTGGGTGTCGTAAGACGCGAGAGAGGGAAACAAATCAGGAGATGGGCAGCAGCGTCTTCCTAATAACGCCTAAAAATAATTTAAAAATTTGTGCAACCGAATTCAATATAAATTATTAAAACTAACTCAAAAACCATCGGTCAAACCTTGACCGAATTTATATGGGACCACATGTGAAGCACCAGCTTTCAAATAAAAAAAGTATCATCGAAATCGGTTCACCCAGTAAAAAGTTATGAGGTAACACGCATAAAAAAACATACAGTCGAATTGAGTGTCGGCTCCTTTTTGAAGTCGGTAAATAAAAAAGCGTGGCAACTATGGCAAATATCTGTGAAGATTGGAGGATATTTGCCTCCCTCATGGAGGCCTATGTTCAGCAGTGGACTTTAATAGGGTGTAACGGTAAATTATAAGATATCCTCCAGACCAAAGTTCAGTTACGGCGACATTCTTAGCGGAGACAAGCCATCTGTGATCAGGATTATACAAGTGTACTCTCCGTCCCCTGCAGCATGACTCAACCACGTAGAAGAACTATATTATGGTTGTAGCACGAATGGGTCGGCACGGCCGGGGAAGGACTCTCTCAGAATACCTGCGTAAAATAGCAGCATAACGCTGCTGTGTTTCGTATGGTGAGTGTAAAGAACCGGAGACCCTTTTTACTGGAAACGAGGCATTCCATCTTAGTCCTCACGAGTGAAAACGCATCTGCGTTTTGACTCTTAATTGAAGATAAATGTAGATGTCTACGGGCCACAGCAACCATTAGGTGGACTGTGTGCTCGTTTTTCATCTTTATCCTATAAAAAAAAAATAGATGAAGTGTGAGGGTGTGTGTCGATGCATTTCCCTTCTCAAATTCTGGTAAGTATTCAAACCAGAAAAATCAAGTGAGATGGGCTGGTATGCTATCGGAGATTGTGGGTTTAGCTCGCCTTTATAATTTGTATGTCAATCAGCTTATTGAGTCACTCAGTAGTTCTCATGTCGGCTGTGATATTGACGATATTTGCTTTAATATTATAAGCTATGCTGACGACATGGTGCTACTAAGTCCCACAATCTCAGTGCTGTTGACGGTTTTACCGGTTAACATCTGTTTTATTCTGCTCCGTAAAAATCGATCTTAATTAGTGGTTTAAAGTGGACGTTTGGTGTTAAAACCATTTTACCCTTTTAGCTTGTAGAACAAGCTTAGTAGTGGTACAATCAAAATAGTTTACAAGTAATAAGTAAAAATTGTTTAAAAACATTAAATAACTGCTGTGCTGTGTTCCTACGACGCGACGTGCTTGAGCCGCCGGCTGCGGTGAGTCATCGTGCCTAGACCGGCGTCACAGAATAAAAATAATAGTATAATTATTTACTTTAATTATATATTTATATATATATATATATATATATATATATATATATATATATATATATATATATATATATTTTAATTATACCTAGTACGTAGTACGTAATGGCGTGCTCACAGCGAGCGACTGTCTGTAACAATGTCACCTAAAACTTCCAGGTTAGAACTAGTAGTTAATGTGGACTAATAATCTTCCGCTCAACAGATGTCGCTAGTTGACACTGAGCTGAAGTTTTTTTATTAGAATGTCATTTATTTGAGAAGTTAATTTTAAATAAAAGGTTATGTTTCTAGAGTAATAAATTTGAGTTTCTAGAAAAAAAAATGAATACACAAAACAATGCCTCAGTGGTTTGCTCTTTAATTTATTGCCCATTTAACTCTTTTATTTTAATTTTTCTGCTTTTCTGAATATCTCTGGTTTGGTTTATTTATTTTTAATGTAATTATTATAAACTATAACGAATAGTGCAGAAAGAAACATTAACCTTTACATTTTTCGAACAAATTATCTTCCCCGCTATGAAATTTTCAAATACCTATTACACCTCCTCTATAAGTGGCGCCACCCTGGTGGTGGAAAAAGTCGTGGATGCCCTTATTGCGCGGGATTTCGCGATGTAATTATCCAAGGGTTGTAACCCGTTTATTGGTTCCGTACTTCAAAAATAAAAAAACGGAACCCTTATAGGATCACTTTGTTGTCTGTCTGTCTGTCTGTCAAAACCCTTTTTCTCAGGAGCGCGTGGAGGTATCAAGCTGAAATTCATATCAAATACTCAAGTCTACTGTCCCTTGGAGCTGTGAAAAAACCAAACTTCTAAGTCAACGCAATCAAGAGATACAGCCGTTTATGCCGCAAATTTTCGACATTCGCAAGGGAATCAAAAACTACAGGGTACTTCCCGTGAACTCAGAATCTTAAAATTTGGTATGAAGCAACGTATTATAGCACAAATAAAGGAAAAATTGCGAATAGCATAAATTTTTAGTTACATCATATAATTAAAATATTTTCAATAATTTTAAACTTATATATCTATGGATTTGTTCGGAACCCTCGGTGCGAGAGTCCGACTCGCACTAAGCCGGTTTTTTTATTTATTGCATGAAAATTTTAACCTTGTGTGCGTATTAAATTTTCTGTAAGGCACAAGAGTTTTAGAAGTACTAAATAATAAATAGATAAATAAAACTCAAAGCACTCTCTATTGTCATAGGACTCTTAGTGATCGATGCATAATGGGCTAAAATATAAAAATAAATAAATATAAAACTTAACATCTTACATTCAAAGAAGTTAAACATCAGCCCTCACATACGCCTGAAGTGGCGTGTCTCTAAAGGTGGTGGATAGTTTTAAATATTTGGGGCACATTGTGAACGGAGACCTCCGGGATGACGAGCACATAGAAAGGAGCGTAGGGCGTTGACAGTGAGAGCCATGCTCTCAATATCTCTCTAAAGGCGGCTCTTCACGTTGGCCACAGTGGCGAAAGTGTTGGCAAAGATATTGGCCAATAGCTTCTGATGGCATCCACACGTTGGAAGGTCGTTCAGTTTGCTACGGTTTAGACCAATGTGCGGACGATTTTATTACAATAGATATTGAGGCGGTAACGGCTGCTGCAGTTTATTTATTCATAAGAAAAGGGTGATCGAAAAGAAATGGAAAAAATAAATTTTGTTTCTTCTGTTCTATAAACAATTTTCGGCTTGGTGGAGCTCTATAATGCGAAAAGTTTCTTCATTGGTCATTATTACTGCCATTTTGTACACACTAGTTACGATGCGTGAATATAAAATTTAAAACTGGAGCGTGCCATCACTCTGGGAGCTCGTAGCAACTAAAGTGCGCCCAACGTGTGGACGCGGCGGCCAATATTCTGCCACAACCATTTGATATTTTGTAAAAAACCGACACCACACGGATCTCGCGCCAACTTGTGGGCCATCATTCAAATACCTACCAACGTAAGCATAAACACCCGCTCTACACGATGGCCATCGTTGTTGGCCAACACATTCGCCAGTATGTTGGCCAACGTGAAGAGCCGCCTTAAGTTCACTAGATGTGACGATACAGTTAAAAGAACGCTTTTCAAAGCATTTTGTCAATCCTACTACTCTAGTGGCTTGTGGGTGACATATAGACGAATTTTGTCAATAGAAGGTCTACTCTAGTGGCTTGTGGGTGACATATAGACGAATTTTGTCAATAGAAGGTCTACTCTAGTGGCTTGTGGGTGACATATAGACGAATTTTGTCAGTAGAAGATCTACTCTAGTGGCTTGTGGGTGACATATAGACGTCGAGTTCACGATGCTCTGCGCGTACATTATGATAACGCTTTCAGGACGATGTCGCGGCTGCTATGGCATTGCAGTGCGTGCAATATGTCTGCGCAAGCGCGTACCTACAACTTCCAAGCGGCTATTCGGAAGAAAGCAGTCCCACTCTTGCAACGCTTACTAAACAGTAGCAACAGCATCCTTGGAGCGATATCTGTAATATATGACTGTGCCATACAGAATCACAGTCAGTGGGCGTAGTCATAGGATTAAAATGATGTGTAACTACTTACAATTGTAACATTAGATATGTGTCAATCGTGAATGATTCGTTCATTTGACCCGAGTCGCATCAAAGTATTGATTATTGCAATCACATTTCATGAACGTTCCGGTTCCGGTACAGAACCTACACCAAAGAGTATAGTAATGTTCGACGACCGACATTATCGAGCGGGTATCACAAATCACAGAGTACTGAAACTCGAAATAATCCATTTTAATGATCGAGCCTAATGACCCGGTTCTAGAAATGAATGAATGAAACATGTCTGACTAACATAGTTTTAAGCCAATATTGTAACTAACAACATTATTGACAATTGGACTCGTGGTCTGAAATAAAAATATTCTTATTATTGTTATTAAATGTCCCCCTGAACTTAATAGAAGCCAGTTATTTCAATATTACAGACAGACACTTCAATTTTTTTTTATATTTACTTTTACTAAGGTCATGGGTTCTAACCCGCCATTCGACTACTGTCGTGAACCTCCTAAAAAGCATTTCAAGCTTACCAGCAGTGGTTAAAGGGAGATTATTAGTAATTTTAATACTTAATAGCATTGTTTAGTATTTTCTAAAATTAAAAAAAAAACTTCTTTGTTTCAGTTACCAAATGAGGATGAATGCGCTGTTCTTGCTGACGGCGTTCGCTGCGGTGACGTCGGTGTCAGGATACAACATACTGTGTATGATGTTCCTTCCATCTCGAAGCCATCTACACTTGGCTAGAGGCATAATTAATTCCCTTTTGGAATCTGGGCATCAGGTAAATATTTTTTTAAATAGAATAAGGGTGACAAACGAGCACACAGTCCACCTGATGGTAAGTGGATGCTGTGGCCGCTAGACATCTACATCTATCAAAATTCAGATGCGTTGTAAGCCGTGAGGACTAAGGTGGAATGCCTCATTTCCAATAAAAAGAGTCTCCGTTTTTCTACACTCACCACACGAAACACAGCTGCGTTAAGCTGCTATTTTACGCTGGTATTCTGTGAGAGCGTGGTCCTTCCCCGGTCAAGCCGACCCATTCGTACTTCAACTATACCAGTACTATAGCTGCAGCGTGGCTCTACTACGTATTATATAGAGATAAAACAAGTGGCAAAATACAAAATGAGAACATCATCAATGTAGTCAAAGTCAATTAAATACGAACAATTAGGGATACCTCAAAAACTGATCAGAGATCAAATGTATACGGGATCACATGAGAAGCACCAGCTTTCACATAAAAAAAATCATAAAAAGCGATTCAAGCGAATCAAAGCGAGAGAGTCGGTTGAAAATTACTTTTAATAATAAGAACATAATATAAAATTAAAAACTTTGTACAGCCGACTTCAATATAAGTTATTAAGAATAACTCAAAAACTGTTGGTTTGACATTGATCAAATTCATTCAAATAAATAAAGAATCATCGAAATCGGTTCACCCAGTAAAAAGTTATGAGGTAACACACATAAAAAAACATACAGTCGAATTGAGTACCGCCTCCTTTTTGGAAGTCGGCAGAAAAGTAAAACCGACGACTTCAAAGAACCGATAATAATGAAATAATTTTACATTCTGAAGTTTGTGCTAAGAATGTAAAGAAAAATGAAAGCCAAGACATATCAAATGTCCACGACACAGTTCTGTCTTAGCCAGGACTCTAGAAATTGGTGGGTTTCATCCACGTGCCTCAGAAAGCTCGTAAAGCCGTGAGTTCTGCGCCTAATCCCTTTCCGATCGTGTCCGAAAGCCGTCCTATCGTACTATGAGATTGAGAGAATATAGAGTGCGCCTGTGCAGGTACAGGTGCACTCAGTAACCAGTTTGTTCCGCTCTAAGCTATAGACAATAGCTGTTCCCCGCGAATCCGTCCGCGTGGAATTTATTGATACGGATTTATTTCATAGGTTTTGATATTTTTTCGCGTAACCCTAATTTTTTTTATAAAAGTAGCCTATATTACTTCTTATAACATCAGCTATCTGCCAGTAAAAGGAGATTAGCCTGAACAAACAGACAGACAGATAGATAGACCGAAAGACAAACAGACAGACAACAAATGTTAGAATTGTTTTTTTGTTATAAGTACCGTATATATTTTCATATATATTTAATAAAAAGCTGTTATTTTAACATTATAAACAGACACTGCAATTTTATTTATTTGTCTATAGATCTACTAAAATTATTTCTGTGTTAATTGTCCTAAGGTTACATGGGTGACGTCATATCCAGAGGAAGCACCGCATAAGAATTTGAAGCAGATCGAACTGAGTGATGTTCGGGCTATCTCCGCTGGTAAGTTAATTCAACAACTTACCAAAATCTAACCAAAACCATTGCCATTGGTTAATATTTAGTCAATTTACGCCCTCCGTCCTATCAAAAGGTGTACCTGTCATCTTTTATGGTGGGTACTCAAGTATCACCTTGTGGAATCGGCATAAGGCAATTCATAGCTTCTTAAGAAAGCGTAGGTTCCGCAAGAGATTATCAGAGGTCCGGAAGATCTCATGGCTTTCGACGGATGGCAGTATAATCGACATTTAAATCTTTTATCTTTTTTTTTACAAAGAAATTTTTTATTTTAGACATTACCTCAACACGAGGCTTTTCTCCTGTATCGTGGGGGCAGTTTACATACATAAATTTAACAAGGAACAAACATCTCGACCCGGAATATATTTTGTAGGCCATCAAATACTTGTTCCCTGCGGGATTCGAACCCGTGGTTCTTAGCGCTGCAACCTAACCTATATAAACTTAGGTATCATCATTTATTTAAATTGACTTCTTATATCTCATTCTCAAATCAACAAAGTAGATAGACGGAGCACTTCGTACATTACAAGTGACGCTGAAACCAAGCCAAAATCATGTTAAGGTTAACATATCTAGAAAGATGTTAAAAATTAATTAGCCAAGATCAGCGTGGCAACGGCAACTTGGCCGGCAACGCATCTGCAATTCCCCTGGTGTTGCAGTTGTGTTGTGCGGCGGTGGTACAATACCATTAGGAGAGCCGCATGCTCGTTTGGCCCCTCTTATATAAAAAAACGTAATGAAATAAAATGATGTGTCCTACTGATGTTTGAAGATCACTCCCCACCCTCCCTTTATTGCTTGTATTATCCCCGCCTAACACCTAACATTCTACACACGATACACATCCTAACACCACTATACTAGGAAAGACACACCACTGTCAAAAACACGACAGTTTTCGTTTATAATCGAGGTATTTTGTTACGTTTATTGTAGGAATACGTACTCACTTAATAACACATAATATTATTATATAAGATTTGGTTTCCGAACGAAGATAAGTGAATGAGATGAATGAATATATGAGCGAGAGGGAATGGGAAGGAAGTTGAATGGTGGAAAGACGAACGGGGAGCCTTGTGTAAGTTGTAAGACGAATTGTGTTAATTAATTATAGAAGTCAAATTCGTTCAAGACAATTTTATTTACGTTGCCACATGTATTTAGAATCATTAACAAACAAAAACATGATTTTATGTGTATGTGTGCGGCCAGGAGTGTGCGTGAGTAAACAGCAGCGCCTCATCTATCTTCTGTGTTGGTCTGAGAACACACTTTAAATGCAATTACAGTTGCAGCCTATTAATGTCCACTGCTGAACATAGGCCTCCCCAGGTTGCCTCTTAAGGTAATATTTGCCTGAATATTTGCCATAGTTGCTATGCTTGGCAAGCGGGAAGACGCTGCTGTCCATTTCCTGATTTTTTTCCTTCTGTTCATGACCCACGGAATGATATGGGGTTATAGTCTGTTCGCTAAGATAGTGTCGGTACATCCGTAGGAGCACTTATTATTTTGTTTTTATTATATTATTATTTTTACTGTATTTGTTAAATAAATGTTTTCTGTTCTATGAATAAAATAGAATAGTATTTTATTATTTACGGTTATTCTAATAAAATACGATACGATAATGAACACAAGTCAGATAGCAAAGAACCTTTCACTACGGATCGGCGATTCGAGGTGCCAAGTTTTCCTACGGGTGTACACCGCACACGGTGACCTTTGACGTCGCGGCGGCGCTTTTGACAAGATGCGGCACTTGCCAAGGCGACGCGACACAGAGGCGACTGTATCTAAGTGAATAGATACTTAATAATAATAATAATAAACATTTTTGTTACTAATTTGATAATTTAGTATACATGAATTACCATTGTAACCATTCAATAATATTCTACTTCTTCTTCACCTGTCTGTAAATGTCACATGACATGGGTATGGGTTGTAACTATGGGATATGCCAGAATGATCTCATGGCTTTCCACAGACGTACAATACCCAGACCGGTGACGAGCAGCACACATCGAACATGGCAGTAACGTCACAAGTGCGATATACCGCAGTGTATCATCGCGTCGGTGTGGTAAGAACTGACAGATATACTGTCAGTATATCTGTCAGTTCAATGTATAACAACTAACTAGTTATTTCGAAGACAGACACTTTAATTTTATTTATATGTAGACTAGCTGTTCCCCGCGACTTCGCCTGCGCGTCATTTATTACGATTGGATTTTATGGGTTTTAATTTTTTACGCGGAAGCCTAATTCTTTTTTTTTAAATAAAAGTAGCCTAAGTTACTTCTTATAACATCAGCTATTCTGCAAGTGAAAGTCCGGTCAAAATCTGTCCAGCCGTTTCGAAGATTAGCCGGAACAAACAGACAGACAGACAGACAGAAAGACTGACAGACAAGAATTTTAAAAATCGTGTTTTTGTTATAAGTACCGTATATATTTCCATATGTATGTAGTAAAAAGCTTTTATTTCTAAGTTACCAACAGACACTTCAATTTTATTTATTTGTATAGATTAAAAAATGAAACTTCACTTTAGCTTTAGAAACTGCAAGTATGGAAATGAATATATCTCAGATTCGGCAATTTACAAAGAATATCTCTGATATGGCGGCTAGTTCCCCGTTAGTGCGAGAAGCCCTTGTGAAGGAGAACTATGACGCAGTCGTAACTGAATGGTTCTTGTCGGATGTAGAGGCCGGGTGAGGAATGTTTTTTTTTCTTTCTTTCCGTCTAATTGCGGTACTGGTGGAGAATATACGGTCCAAGATGGTGCTGGTGGCGTAAGAGAATCCATGACCACATTTCGGCGAATGGGTTGTGTAAGAGGCGACTGTGGAATACGCCAAAAAAGTTTCATAGCTTACAATAGATGGCGCTAATACCATTTCACTAACGAAAAGAGTACAAGTGGTAAAATTAAAAATTTTGTTCAACTAACTTCAATTGTGTTTATAGAAATAGGGTGACAAACGTGCACACAGTCCACCTGATGGTAAGTGGTTGCTGTGGCCCATAGACATCCACATCTATCTTCGTTTTCGAATTAAAATGCAGGTGCGTTGTCAGCCTTGAGGACTAAGATGAAATGCCTCGTTTTCAGTAAAAAAGGTCTCCGGTTCTCTACACTCACCATACGAAACACAGCAGTACTAAGCTGCTATTAGACGCTAGTATTCCGTGAGAGCGTGGTCCTTCCCCGGTCGAGCCGACCCATTCGTGCTACAACAAAAAATATAGCTGCAGCTTGGCTCTACCACGTAATATAAATTATTAAGAATAACTCAAAAACTACTCTTCAGACCTTAATCAAATTTATATGGGACCACGTGAAAGGCACCAGCTTTAGAGAATTACCGAAATCGGTTCACGTAGAACAAAGTTATGACGTAACACACGTAAAAAAAAACATACAATCGAATTGAGTGCCGGCTCCTTTTTGAAGTTGGTAGAAAATGACAATATATTTCAGGTATGCGGCAGTTCAACAAGCACCCTGGATTGTGTTAAACACTGTGGTGATGCATCCATATATGGAGTACCTTGTGGACTCGGTACGATCCCTGCCGGTCGTACCGTTTATGCACTACGACTTCCCCATACCAATGAGCTTTCGGGAACGACTGGTCAATACTTTCACCTTCGGTCTGATGATGATTGACAATTGGTATGTATTGTGCTGCTTTTCTCTTGGTTAATATTAGGGGTTTCGGTATGGTGGCGGTGAAAAACACTCCATCAATCCATTTCGTCTCATTGGAGTCCTAAGAAGTACCCTTTTTTCTTTTTTTATAGAATAAGAGATGACAAACGAACACACTTACATCAATCCTCACTTAAGAATCACAATGCAGATGCGTTGTCACCCCTGAGGACGAAGAAGGGATGCCTCGTTTCCAATTAAAAAGGTCTCTAGTTCTCTACACTCACTATACCAAACAGCGCCATTAAGTTGCTATTTTACGCTGGTATTCTATGAGAGCGTGGTCCTTCTTCGGTTGAGTCGACCCAGTAGCTACACTACGTAGCTCAACCTAACTGTAGTCCTAATAGTCGACCATAGAAAATGCCAGAATAAAATGATGGCTTTCGACAGATGACAGCACAACGTATTAACCATCTTTTTTAGACCAGACGTAAAATATAACTCTTCATAAAAAAAAACATGTCTATTCAAATAAAGCGTCATTTAAAATAAAATAATATTTCTATTATGGCAAGATAAGAAAAAGTGCGAGGGAGATGGATATTATTCCATCTCGCTTCCTCATAGCCGTCAACGCCATCTACACTACGTCAGAAGGGGTAGTGAAGGAAATATCTTCCCGCCATTTTCTCGCTTTGCCCAAATTCGTACCGTCCGATAAAGAATTTCGTTCCAAAATAAATGGCGACTCTAAAGAAAGCCCCGACTTCTGAAGCTATTAGTTGGTAATTGTTTTTTTTAACTTCTTTGAAGTCGGCTTTTACCTTGTATGAAAAGTCAAAATTTTTGACTCTTTATGGTGAACTAAGATATTGAATGTCGTGAAATATTTAGATTGAAAAGTTCATGCCTGATTTAAAAAAATTGAAGGCAACATACGGATATTTCCTAGCCCCAAAACCCTCTCGGAAATGTGATGCTGTACCCAGCTGTGGGTCGTATATAGGCTGTTATTTTACTGTTTACTTTCTATTGTCGTGACTCCAGGCTACAATATGCAAGTGCTTCGTCCCGTTACGAGCAGCATTTCTCACCGATCGCCGCCGCCAGGGGAGTGTCGCTGCCTCCGTTCTCCGAGGCAATACACAATATCTCCATATTGTTTGTGAATTCTCACCCCTCGTTCTCGAATGCCTTGAGTCTGCCCCCCAACGTGATAGAGATTGCTGGCTACCACATCGACGAGAATACATCACCATTGCCTAAAGTGAGTTTTATGTTGACAATTGTTGCATTTAACAAGTTCATTTAACTCAGAAATTAGTTTTAAATAAAACTGTACATATTAGTTACATTAATAAACTAAACAATGTCTCAAATGTATGCTGTTTAATTGTTTACACGTTTTTAACTCTTTTTTTATTTTTTCTACTTTTATGAATATTTGTGGTGTGGTTTATTTATTTTTAATGTAATTGATATAAAATATAACCAATAGTACAGAAAGAAACATTAACCTTTACATTTTCCCAATAAATTAACTTCCCCGCTATGCAATCTGTATATTATACCTCATTTTCAAGTAGTGCCGCCCTGGTGGCGGAAAAAGTCGTAGATGCGTTCATTACGCCATAATAGTCTCAGAAGAAAATATTGTGCCGTGTGATGGCGGCGTTAGAGAATCCACTAGCCCATTTCATCACGGAGTTGTCGTAAGATGTGATAAAAGGGGCTGTACCAAGATAGGGGCGGCAGCATCTTTCTGATAACAACTAAAATAATAACAAAATGCAGTTGCAAAACCACCTGCTAAGAGTTGCAAAGCTATATCAAATGGCAATATCCTACAGAAATATGACAATTATCTCGACCGGGGAAAGACCACGCATCCACAGAACACCAGCGTAAAATAGTAACTAAATGCTGCTGTGTTTTGTATGGTGAGAGTTAAGAATCAGAGACCCTTTCTTCTGGTAGCGGGACGTTCCTTCTTAGTTCTCACGGCTGACAACGCATCTAAATTTTGATTGTCAATGAAAGATAGATGTAGATATCTTTTGGGGCCACAACATCCACTTACCACTGTGTGCTCGTTTGTCACCCTTATTCTATAAAAAAACCGTCTCTATAAGACAATTTAATGGGGAGGTCTATGTTCAATAGTGGACTATTGAAAGGTTGTAATTAATGAATGAAAGTCAAAGAAATGTCAACGTTACAGCCTATTATAATCCACTGCTGAACATAGGCCTCCCCCATAGATTGCCTCATGGGGGGAGATATTTGCCGTAGTTGACATGCTAAGCAAGCGTGTGGGGAACCGCAGTTTTTTTTTAGTCTTTATTAGGAAGACGCTGCTGTCCATCTCCTGATTTGTTTCCCTGTGTCACCTCTTAAGGAACCCACGCGATGTTATGAGGTAGTGGATATTCTTACATCGCCAAAACTTTGTACGTCGCGCCCAGCATAGGGACGTGTATATACACTGTACCGTTTATGTAGGTACAGAGAGTTGGTCACCTGTTAAAACCATTTCTAAGTTATATTTCCATTACTTCTCAGGATCTTCAAGAGATTCTAGATTCTTCACCAAAAGGCGTGATCTACTTCAGCATGGGATCCATTATCAAGTCCACTGGACTTCCCGAGAAGACTAAGCGTGACTTAATAGATATTTTTGGCGAGCTTCCCTACACAGTACTCTGGAAGTTTGAGGAGAAAATGGAGGGACTTCCTAAGAACGTACACATTAGGTCTTGGATGCCACAAGCCAGTATATTAGGTGAGTTTCTTCGATTTTTTTAATTTTTATAAAATATCTAAGGTGAGAAATAAAGGATATCTACAAAGTTTGTTTTGTCTTTTCTTCTGTGGTCATAGTAACTTAATTTTAAAAATGAGCTGACTAAATTTGACGTTTCTTATACACGTAGGCTCCTTAGGCGCAAATTATACAGAAGCAGCATAAAGCGAAGGCAAGGAACAGGCGCGGCGCAGGCGTCGTGCCGCTACAATACTTTGTCATATAAAATGTATGAAAGCGGCGTAAGGTTTAGAATCAAGTCGCCTTAATGGGGTTTTATTTAATGATTTCTGAGCAAAGTCGCTTTAAGAGGAGGGGAGGCCTCCCCCTCCTCCGATATAATGCCAAAGTGTAGTAGACGGAGCCCCGCTAAGCGGGACTCCTATTTCTGGATGGTTTATAAAAAAATAACCACGAAGGGGATGGAATATCAATGACAGTTGCCTCTTTCCACGTAGTGGGAAAGTAACTAAAAGCGAACCCTTTATAAGGTCTGTATATGACCAGTTATGTCTTACGCGGGCCCTATATTTGCTCACGCTGACCCCAAAATTATTAATGAACTCCATAAAGTTCAAAATCTCTTCTGTCGTCTTCTTCTTAAATTTGCCTTAGTAGGCTCTCCCTCAGCGGCTCGTAGCCGCCTGCGAACTCTTTTCCGAACAGAGGGTCGCTTCCGATTCGGCAGAAAGGCCTCAAAGGCCACTGCCCATCCCCCATAGGCGGTGTTTAGCGGGTACACTTAGGGTGGTTAGGCTAGTCACAGTGAGTCCCGCATAACCACGACAGACCGGCTGTCGAGGTATGCATAAAGCATTCACCGCCTCCTCGCATTAACGGTGTAGCCCTTTCCAATTGCTTCTGGGCGCAAAAAAAGGGGATAGAGGGGTCTGTTCGCTCACCATCCCACCATCCCCCTCTAAACTAACCTGTCCTAGTTGGGGAGCCTCAAATCCCGAGCTCTCTTCACTCGCTTTTCCACCAAATAAAACACCAAAATGATAACTTTTATAATTAATTTAATAAGTAAACATATTTTATTACTTCCATCATTTCCAAAAATGGATCTTTATTATATTTCCTAATGTTCCGCCTCCACAAGTACTCCATTTTCGCATCGCCAAAATTCTCTGGATTATTGTAATTATCTTTTTTAAAAAACGCATCACAGCTCTTCATTGTGACTCAATCCTTTGTGTGCGAGTCTCATTAAGAATTTGTGATTTATGAATATTTTTAGAAAATGATGTTAAATATTTCGACGCAGCTCCGGCAGCTAAAATTGCATGGGGGCGCTTGAGATAAGCCCTCTAGACCCCCCCCCCCCCCCGCTCCACAGTGACAGACTCCTCAAATCAGGCGACTTGATTCTAAACCCAACCCGTGGCGCGGCACAGGCATGCCGCTTTTATCCGTGCTACTTTCGCGCCACACCTGTGTGCGCCTTAGAGTATAAACTAGCAAACTATGCTTATATATACTCTAAGGAACTACATAAGTCGACTCGCGAGCATAATTTAGTACCTCTATTATAACTTATAATTACTAAGTCCTTATACTTACGTTTAATTATTTCGGTTATATCTCATCAGCGCATCCTAACGTGAAGGTGTTCATAACCCACGGCGGTCTACTCAGTATGCTGGAGTCTCTACGCTACGGGGTTCCAATAATCGCAATCCCGGTCTCCAGCGACCAGCCCGGCAACGCGGATCGCTCCGTGCGAGCTGGTCATGCGCTGAAGGTTAAGTTCTCTCCCGACATGGCTCCTAAAATCAAGACGGCTCTCAACGAAATGCTTTCTAATGACAGGTAAACTTTTTAGGTGACAGTGGGAAATAGGCAGGAGATAGACAGCAGCATCTTCCTGATAACAGCAAACTGCGGTTGCCAACCCGCTCGCCAAGCGTGGCAACTATGGCAATTACCCCCCCCCCCCCCCCCCCCCCCCACGGATGCGAGTAACAAAGGGATGGCCACCAGTTCCCGGCGGCTATTTCTGGCTACGGTGGCGACCATGGTAACGGCGGGGGTGCTAAGAATCTCCGGTGGAAGAAGAGATAGACAAGTTACGCTAGCATATTATAGAATTATCCGAGGTCCGAAGAGAGGGGGAGGACACGGTAAATCTCGAATCCGGCAACTTGCTCTATCACCGGGAGGGCGACCATCTGTCCCAAGGAGGTGTCGGATTTATCGTCCACAAGTCTCTCGTTAACAACATTGTAAGGATTGAAAGTGTGTCGACAAGGGTTGCGTACTTTATACTCATGATCACCAAACGGTATTCGCTGAAGGTCATACAGGTTTACGCACCAACCTCGGCACATCCCGATGAGGAAATGTATGAGGATATATCTAGAGCCATGCATTCCTCCAAAACTCACTATACGGTGTTAATGGGAGACTTCAATGCAAAACTAGGCACAAGAGAGAACAAAAGTGAGCTGAAGGTAGGGAAATTTGGGATAGGGCAACGGAACCCAAGCGACCAGCAGCTGGCCGACTTTATGGAGAAAGAGGGACTCTTTATGATGAACTCTTTCTTCCAGAAGCGGCCCCACAGGAAGTGGACCTGGTCGAGCCCCGACGGTTCGACAAAAAATGAGATTGACTTCATTATGATGACCAGACGATAACTGTTCAGTGATGTCTCCGTGATCGCGAGGGCGAAAACTAGTAGCGATCACCAAATTGTTAGAGGAACACTGAACCTAAACGTTAAGTTGGAGAGGTCTCGTCTAATAAAGTCGTCTAAACGCTCCGTCCCCCATGTTTATCGGTTAAGGTTACTTTTAATTTGGCCAACTTCAATATTATATCACAATTTGGTCGATAAACTTCCGTATAAGGCGTATTGCAGACACTGCCTTTTGCTCCTGCCGAATAAATTTGCTTTCTTACTCTTTCCTCATTAATCTTAACGTGTTTTTTTTTTAAATAAATGATATTCATTCTGTAAATACTAGGAACAGACACAAGTTATTAGTACCAGTTTCTCGACTCCACCGAGTCAGTAATTCATTGTTGGGGCGATGTATACGCTTTTACAATAAAATCCCAGAAAATAAACAAAATTTGACCTGCTCAAAGTTCAAAAACTTTATTAAATAAAGTTTTTGTATAAAAAGGGTTATTATAATATTAAGGTATTTATTAATTATATTAACACCTGGGAATCAGGTGATCGCTGCCATGCTGTTTCTAATATTTTTTATGTTGTTAAATGTGTAACATATAAGATTGTGATCTGTTTACTTTAAAAACAAGTGCCGCTGGGTTTCTTGTTGGTTCTTCCCAGGACAGAGGTTTTTTCCAAACCAGTGGTAAATTAAACAAAAGACTGACTTTCAATAATAATTATTTATAATCTATATTGAATAAAAAAGTATCACTATCTGTTTTCACCGAAGCATTCCTTTCTCAATCCTAGTTCTCTAGAAAACCACACTTTTCTTTCATAACTCAATTTCTCACGCTATCAAAGTCAGCACAACACACTCGTACTTCTTAATTCCTGCATTTCTTCAGCATTAATTTTTATTTTATACTTCTTCTGCCACACCCAACTTTCACTACCGTACAATAAGGTAATTAACACAGTATTATGAATTGCCAAATTTATTAATCAAACAGAAACAATCTTTGTAGGTTTAATTGAAATACGTGATTATTCAATATAATATTGTAATAAGCAATAAAATATTTTTACACGTAGTAGAGCCATGCTGCAGCTATATTAGTAGTATAGTTGTAGCACGAATGGGTCGGCTCGACCGGGGAAGGACCACACTCTCACAGAATACGTATGGTGAGTGTAGAGAACCGGAGACCCATTTTTACTGGAAAAGAGGCATTCTATCTTAGTCCTCATGAGTGACAACGCATCTGCATTTTGATTATTTATTGAGGATAGACGTAGATGTCTATGGGTCACAGCAACCACTTACCATCCATGGACGTATTACCATCAGGTGGATTGTGTGCTCGTTTGTCACCCTCTACTATGAAAAAAAAATCAAAAGAAAATTACATGAGGATTCGAGGTGTGCACTCCTGGATTATGCAATTTTTTTAAAATTTCGTCAGTCGGTCTGTCCTCGCTAATCTACAGAATGGCAGAACCGATTGTAATGAAATTTGACGAGTAGATAAAGGGCAATGCCAGGAAATATCTAGGCTATATTTTTTTCGAAAAAAAAACAAAGGATTATTTTTGGTATAACGAAAAACTTATGTTAGGACGCTAGTAAGAAATATAAATCTTTAAGGTACGTTGGGGTAAGATCGGTGATGGGGCAAGACCGTAGGATTCAAATTCCCGGCGAATTATGCAATATTTTGAAAAGCTAACAATATGCTACACGACGCCATTTCATCCTGCCCCGACCCTCAGTTCGTGCCAGTCACTCCGGCAAGTGGGACCTGTGCTGCGTGGCATTTTATAAAACAATGTAATTTTTGTATTATTTTTGTCCATCCGATCTTTCCCTATCACTTTTATTTACGATTTTTAGCGAGAATATGGCTTCTTTTGTTATTATTTTGTGTGGATACTAATTTTTATGAAGTTATAGCTAAATAAAGCTGGTCCATGCAGGGCTAAGATCGCTGTAGGCCGAGATCCGATGTTTCCCCGCGTGAGTGAAGATCGGATGAATATTATCCGATCTTTGCCTGTTACAAATATGGCAGTGGTTGTTAAACTTTCATTGGTCGTGTATATTTTTTCGTTGATTACTCAAGTGACTATGGGACTCAGTCTCGTTAGCAAGTCTGTATATTTAAAAGTAATAAAACAATACGATGGTTTTATTACTTTTAAGTACACATGAAAATACATTTTTTTATAGGATAAGGGTGACAAAGGAGCACACAGTCCACCTGATGTTAAGTGATTACTGCGGCCCATAGACATCTATATCTATCCTCTATTACAAATCAAAATGTAATTTAAATATAATTATTTAAAAAATAATTTATAATAATAAATGCCGCATTGTTAAAATATTTATATCTTCCTTAACTCCTGCATTATCCCAGGGCATTTCGCCAGTCCTTACTGTTTTTTTTTTCCCATATAAAATCAAATGCAACCGATCGTTCTCTTATATTGAGTAATTCCATCTTATGTCATAACAAAGTTTGAGAAACATAAAATTACAATTTCTTTATATCAGGGATAAGATCGGATGGCAAGAAACAAAAAAAGAGAAAATCGTTTGGAACATTTATGTTTCTAGTAATTTATAGATCATATTGAAATATGTTTTTGAGCGTTAAAGATAGGACAAATCTCTTTTATAAACTTTTTTCTCTGAGCAGTAGAAGTGGTTTTAAATTTAAGTCCGGTCTTACCCCTTAATGGCCAATTTTTCATTATGCATATAAAAAAGTATGTCTAGTTTTCGCACACCTTTAAAGCAGAAACCGTTGAGTTTACACAAGCAAAAGATTCTCAGAGCTAAACTACGTTTAACGATTAACGGTTTGCTCCATGTTCCATAAATCTGACGTATACGAATGTCGAGAAATTAAAGTTTTTGGCAGACTCTTCCAACTTTTCGAAAATCCGTCCGGTATTACCCCAACGTACCTTATTTCACTGGTTTATTATTATTCCGGTTTGTTTATATAATCGTATTTCTCTTGTAGTTACTACAAGAAGGCCAAGTCGATATCGAAGTTATTCAACAACCGGCCGGTGAAGCAGAGTAAGCTCATCTCGCATTACGTTGAGCTGGCCATCGAGAGTAAAGGTGAGTTATAATATTTCTTAACCAACTGCCCCAGTATTAACAATTTTGCAAAAATCTACTTCTTCAATAGTCAGTTCATGCCCAGTTCATTGCAATGGGTCTATACCCTTGTATTTGCATTAACCGTCACGCTTGGCAGCTGGATAAACGATCGCGACTTTTTATCTATAACATCAATCCATTTCATCACAGCCTATAAAGGTCTACCCCTGAACATTTTAGTACGTGGTAGAGTCATGTTGCAGCTATATTTGTCATATAGTTGTAGCACGAATACCAGCGTAAAATACCAGCTTAATGCTGTTGTGTTTCGTATGGTAAGTGTAGAGAACCGGAGATCCATTTTACTGGAAACGAGGTATTCCATCTTAGTCCTTACGGGTGACGGGTAATGGATGGTACTTAGATGTAGATGTCTATGGGCCACAACAACCACTTACCATCAGGTGGACTGTGTGCACGTTTCTCACCATTATACTATAAAAATAAATTAAACAATGTTTCATATCCTGGTAGATAGATGATCTTCTATACATCCATCTATCGCAGCCTATGAAAGTCCATTGTTGAACACAGGTCTCCCCCATAGATTGCCTCACAGGGAGCATTTTGCCATAGTTGGCACGCTTGGCAAGCGGGTTGGCAACCGCAGGTTTTTTTTTAGTTGCTATCAGGGAGATGCTGCTGTCCATCTCCTGTTTCAGTTTCCCTCTGTCGCCTCTTACGACACCCACGGGATGGTATGGGGTAGTGGATATTCTTACACCGCCACTACACGGTAAACGGTCTTTACATATAAATAATTCAAAATTAAAAATTTTGTACAAGAGACTACAATATAAATTATTAAAAATAATTCAAAAACTATTGGTCACAGACCGTGATCAAATTTATATGGGACTACATGTGAAGCAGCAGCTTTCAAATAAAAAAAAGTATCATCGAAATCGGTCCACCCAGTAAAAAGTTATGAGGTAACACACATGAAAAAAACATACACTCGAATTGAGTACCGTCTCCTTTTTGAAGTCGGTAGATAAAATTGAAGTGTCTATCTGTAATATCAAAATGACTGCCTTGTTCTTTGCTGCTGAGTTATTTGCATGGTATTAAAACATGACCAATCATTTTAAAAATTTTTGTCTGCCTGTCTGTCCGGGCTAATTTTTAAAATGGGTTCAATGATTGCAATCAATCTTGGCGAAATGACAGAGGGCAATAGTATTATATCCGAAAAACTTTCATTTTTTATTCAGAAATCGGAAAATTGCTAAAATAAATGGTCTTTGATGATTATCTTTGATAATTGTAAATAACGCAACATTAATAAATCCAGGCGAAGCCGGGGCAATTCCATAGTAAATATATATAATATAGGTATTCCTATATGGATTTTAATTTGTCGCTACCACATGACATGCATTATAAAATAATAAAGAAAGAATTTAACATTGATTCAACTTTATTTTTTCTTCCAGGAGCTTACCATCTGCGTTCCAAGTCTCTTCTTTACAAGTGGTATGAACTGTGGATGTTAGACCAAATTGCTGCTGTCCTAGCTGTCTTGTCCATGTTCTACATAATAGTAAAGAAAATCATTAGTACAATTACAAGGAAACCAGCGAAAGAAAATATTGTAAAGAAGAATAAATAACCAACAAATGGATTTTTTTTATAAATATTTACGCAAACTGTACACAACTGATTGATAAAATTTTACAAAAGTTTTATAGCGTTTGATTTTACTTAATATTCGCATACACTATCGACCTTTCCTTCTCTTCCGCGAGCTCGTGAGTAAAATTATTTTCATATCATTTCATTAATTCCTTCATTGTCTGTCCTGTCTATCACAAGTCATTCTTTTACGTGGTAGAACCATGCTGCAGCTATATTTTGGTTGCAGCACGAATGGGTCGACTCGTCCGGGGCAGGACAACGGTTTCACAGAATACCAGCGTAAAATAGCAGCTAAATGCTGCTGTGTTTCGTATGATGAGTGTAAAGAACCGGAGACCCTTTTTACTGCAAACGAGGCATACCATCTTGCTCCTCACGGCTGACAACGCATCTGCATTTTGATTCTTAATTGAGGATACGCCATACCCCACCACTACAAGGCGACCTGTACACTGCATAAATTAATTAATTAATTTTACGAATTTTAATAGTATTTAATTTTAGCCTTATCATGATCCCGTAAAAGTCAACTGCTGGATATGGGCCCCTCTAAAGAGGATATAAAAAATTGAGATTGCCAACCTGCACGCTAAGCATTGCAACTATGAGGCAAGCTATGGAGAAGGCTCATGTTATTAAACTATATTATTACTGGTACATAATTCTGAAATTGTTAAATATGTTTTTAAATTTCAAACCAGTTAATAACGGGGGTGTAACTCAGTGGTAGAGTGTCTGCTTCGCATGCTGAAAGTCCTGGGTTCAAATCCCAGCACCTCCAAATGCTACAATGCTTTTTTTTATTTAATTTCCTATTTTATATTTTTTGAAAAATAGTTACGTCAAATTGTTTCAACCATTGATATACAAATTCAACTTTATAAAAATTTACGTGACTCTAACAATAAAGAACTTAAATTGTATTTTCAACAGAAATTGCAAGAGACTTATAGGCTGTAGATATATTATAATGTAGTATACGGATTACACTATCGGATACGGCATAAAGCCTTATCTAATCGCTTGTGCAGCAAGTTCAAAATTATGATATAATTTATTTTAACATCGTTAACATTATTACAAATAGTTTAATATGTATAGTAATCAGTAATGCAATTTAGCGAAACGTTAGTTTTGCTATATAATTTACACAGGCGCACAACACCATCTACTTCAAAAAATGGTGTTCTAATTCTCAGCCTACACGACGACAGATGACACTGATGCATAACGTTTCAAGACTATATCACTAAAATTTTTATTTTTATTTTAAAATACTAATGCTTTTTTTAATTTTAAAATTTGCATTTCTTATTACAATCAGCTGTTAGTTTGCTAATTACTGTTAATTATGTTATTAATATATTATTCGAAGACGTTGCCTAAAAGTTTTCACAGATATACAATAATAATCTTCCGCTCACTAGATGTCGCTAAATGTAACTGTGATTAAGTTTTTGTTACACAGTATAGTTAAATTGTTAGTTTTAAATAAAAGCTTATCAGTTTCTAGAGTATTATATTATACTCAAAACAATGCCTCAGTGACAAATCTTTAAATTTTTTGCAAATTTTACTCTTAGCGAAAAGTTTAAGGGCGCTCTCTTTTCTTAATTTTTCTACTTTTATGTATATCTATGGTTTGGTTTATTAATTTTTAATATAAAACATTACTAATCGTACAGAACTAAATATTAACCTTTATATTTTTCAAACAAATTAACATCCCTGCTATGACATCTGTCAAATTATTAATAGTTACACCTCACTTTTAAGTGACGCCGCCCTGGTGGCATGAAAAGTCGTGGACGTCAAAGATTCGCTCCCGGAGGCTCTAGCAGCGCCAATAATAATCATTTCGTTTAGGGTAGCATTTACTTTTATTATTTGACAATAGATGTCCCTGTCGTTTTATAATTTCACTACTTACGTTTTATTGTACAAGATGTTATTTTTATTTTTTTATATAATAATGGTTACAAACGAGCACATAGTTCACCTCATGGTATGTAGATGCTGTGGCCCATTGTCAAGTGTACTATTCTCGATTAATAACCAAAATGCATTGTCACCCTTGAGGACTAAGATAAAAACAATACATTGCTACTGGTAAAAATGGTCTCCGGTTCTCTAAGCTTACCATACAAAATACAGTATTGTTAAGCTACTATTTAACGTAGTGTGGGACGCCCCCTGACCAGATGGAGCGAGGATTTGCGCAAGGTAGCTGGTAGAAACTGGATGCGTGTAGCCGAAGATCGGGCTAAGTGGCACGCCTTGGGAGATGCTTATGTCCTGCAGTGGACTGCCGCAGGCTAATGATGACAATGATTAAGCTACTATTTTACACCAGTATTCTGTGAAAGCGTGGTCCTTTCCCGATCGAGCGGTATTTGCGCTGCGACCACAATATTGTTGCAACTTAGCCCTACCTCGTCTTAAAAGCTGCACAGCCTATATCATTCGTATCAGATTTCTTTTATTTTCTTTTATTGCCTGACCAAAAAGACAAGGACTTTATATTATGTTAATAAATAAACATAATATCATTTATTATTGAGATTAATGTTTCTTTATTTTACATTTATTGAATTAGAAATGGATAAATCAAACTACGGGTATCCCTAAAAGTAAAAGAATTAAAAAAAGGTAAAAATGTGTAAAAAATTATAGAAAACAGTGCTAAGGCATTGTTTTGTGTATATGCATACACTAGAAACCAAAAAACTTATAATTAAATCGCAACTTTTCAATGATTATAACACTATGTGACACATAGTTTACTTTAGACCCAACTAGCGACATCTGGTGGGCATAAGATTATTAACCCTCATTTGTGACCTAGTTTTTCAGTTTATATTGGTTTTTTATTTGAAGTAAAAATAATTACGATTTTACAGTACCTAAATCAAATCTAATTGCATTTCGTGCATTTTTAATAGCGAGACATTAATTTCGTTGACATACTTAGATTGACTAGTAAGATGAATTTTTTCCATAATAAAACATAATCTGCCGACTTCCAAAAAGGAGCCGGTACTCAATTCGACTGTATGTTTTTTTTTTCGTTTTTTTTTTTATGTGTGTTACCTCAGAACTTTTTTCTGGGTGAACCGATTTCGATGATTCTTTTTTTATTTGAAAGCTGGTACTTCTCGTGTGGTCCCATATGAATTTGATCAAGGTCAGACCAATAGTTTTTAAGTTATTCTTAAATAACTTATATTGAAGTCGGCTGTACAAAATTTTTAATTTTAAATTATTTTTGTCAGAAGTTTAACAAACGATACATTATCTTCGGTGATGCTCTAGGCCAGTGCCTAGTGTCCTTTATCATAAATCCATAACTGATTTCAAAGAATGTCACAAAGCAAGGTCCCGAGCCACTTGCACCCAATAAAATAAAATATATATTTATAATTAAATAAATAATTTTTACGTTTTAACGTGGTAGTGCTATGCTGCAGCTATATTAGTAGTATAGTTGTAGCACGAATGGGTCGGCTCGACCGGGGTAGGACCACGCTCTCACAGAATACCAGCGTAAAATATCAGCTTAACGCTGCTGTGTTTCGTATGGTGAGTGTAGAGAACCGGACACACTTTTTACTGAAAATGAGGCATTTCATTTTAGTCCCCACGGATGACAAGAGAAAACGCATCTGCATTTTGATTCGCAACCGAGGATATATGTAGATGTCTAAGAGTCACAGCAACCACTTACCATCAGGTGGACTGTGTGCTCGTTTGTCACCCTTATTCTATTAAAAGAAAAAACGTATTGTCGCGCAGATCCGTAGAATTAAAAGTTCAAATAAGTGGAAATTTAAATGTTTGTAAATTTCAGCAATTTATGTAAAATTGACCTGTAAAATGTTTCAGGTTCACTGTATGAGCAAAATAGGTGAATTCTGTGCGAATTTCCCATGTTAAATCTACAAAACTATCAATATTTCACTAAGATAAGAATCTTAGTGAAATATTGATAGTTTTGTATAAGAAATTTAAAAGTGTTTTAAATAGTAAAATGTGTGGAATAAATGTAAATTAAACTATTGTATTAGTTAAGATATTTGTATTTTCAAAAAAGAACATTGTGCCAACCTTATATATGTATGTTAGATATTTAAGAATTACTTAGTACATATGTTGTAAAATAGGCATATTTTGTTGAATAAATAAAAGGTTTTTTGTGACATAATAATGTAATATATATTATAGTATAGATATTTTTTTGTGCTATTTTTATAAAAAAAATGTATAAATGTATGTCTTATACAAATAAAGATATTGGGCAAACCGTGAGGGAGTGATAGTACAAATTTGATGTAATTGAGTTGCGAAATCGTACAGAGGGCGCGGCTCTCTTTCGAGTATAGCTTTATTGATACCCATTAAACTGGTTTTCATACAAATCGGTTATTCATCTCTCCCCTCACCACCAGTAGTGTTTGTGATGTCGTACGCATCCGCCGGCCGACGAACTCCGTCAAACGTTGAGGATTTACTCTGTGAGGCCGAGACGTCGCTGGCTACTCCTGGAAAAGAAGAGGATAGCTGAGGATAGTGAAGGCTGACACCACCGCCAAGCCCTGCTTCACGGTACTCAGCATCAGCGCTGAGTAATTCTTCTTACACAAGAAGAATACTACAGCGTGCCGCACTTGTGTGATGAAACGCCCAATCCACCAGAGCCTCACACACCCCTCCCTGCTCGCGGGCACCTCGCTGGGCCTCCCCCAGGGGTCTCAACCGGTGTGGTGCACGCGCTGAGGGGAGTAAGGTGTGTGACAGCTCAAGGGCTGAGCATAACTACACCCAAGCCAAGATGTCGGATAAGGAAGAACCTCCCCCACCACCACCAAGAAGACCACCGGACAGGCGACTGGGGATATTGGACAGGCCTCTCATGGAGCGGAACCTCTTCGAATCTCGAATCATACCCCCGCTAAGCCAAATACCGAGGCGTATTGGCAGTCCACCGCTCACCAGCTCAGCACCCATTTTTAGCGGGATAGAGCGTGTATCCAACCCAGAAAT